GAGGACTTAGGGTCTTACGTCCGCCTCCGGGGCCGACAGGCTGCTATCTATGTCCAAGGTCTTAGTCGCATACTTTAAGAATAAGCGAATATTTACTGTATAACTGTACTTACAGATATATCACCTGGAACGTGCCGATGGATGTGGTCGTTCATATGAGAATGTGATTCAGACGTACGTACGAATTGCTGCTCTGTGTGTTATTCCAATTCTAGTCTGTTCTGCGATGTCATATTTCTTGGTAAGTCGTGCAAACATGATGCATAAAGTAGACATTAAGACGTAAAAGTTAACTCGGTTGTGCTACACTCCCGGACACCAATTTGCCTTTCTTGCGCCTCGCAGCGTTGGTCTGGAAGATGGCATAGAAACATTGGTAGCTGATTACATTGGAAGCGGGAGGAAAGGCGAAAGAACGTCATAGTTCTTGTTCCGGGTTAATAAAGAGATACGTTTTTCCTTTTTTTTTCGTAAACGTTGCTCTTTTCTGTGTAGCTGAGAAGAAAGTTGATAAGTTAAAAAATTGATACTTAACAAATTCTATATGTATATCCTTATTTATGTTTCCCTTTTTCTCAGGTCATGACGTCATACGATTTGTGGAAGTTCTTTTTGGTAACAATTATCTCATTGGTTTTAAACCAAACCTGGATTGCAGTCTACATGATGGTGATTTGTGCACATCCGGGAATCGCTCATCGCATTTGTCCAATGGTGTCGGCCTGCGCAGGCTTTGCGGGAGGGTTTTTAGTACCCAGACCCCAAATGCCAGCTGGGTGAGTGCACATATTAACAAAGTCACCGACATATCTTAGACTTTATTCCTTTAAGGACATCATCCTCTTAACGACGTCAGCAACTTAACAGCTTTATTTACATATGAACGCAACCTTTACTGTATGAACGATAATATTAATGCTAACGTGATAGCGAGTTGGAATAGCAACATTATTAGTACCAAATTTTTCCCTACAAATTATTGATAATTTGGTGTCATATCAACATAATATCCTCGATCCGACCTGTTTGAGCATCCTCGTCATCTGATAACAGGAGTGGCTTGAAATCTCGTGGAGAGTTACACGTTAACTAATGATGGAAGTGAAAGAGGTATAAAATATTTTACGAAGGCTTAACTGCTAAATGTCATGATTATTACAGCTATGAACTTTTTATTTTCTACTGATGAAGTATTTTATTATTTGCTCCAGCTACAATCTGTTATTCTTCATCAACCCACAGTTCTATGGTTATTCAGCTATCTCCAAGGTCTTGTTGCAAAACGTCCGCCTTAAATGCGTTTACGAGTCTACATTGAATTGTATCAGTACGGATGGCAACGCTGTTTTGGCAAGATTTGGGTTTGACACGGTCAATATTTATGAGCATTTGGTGGTAAGTTTTTCTTTTAATGCGCAATATATTACTTTCTTTGAGCTAGAAAAGACAGTAAAAAAAGTGATTGGTGCAAGTTGTTCATAAACATCTTGGAATATGTCAGTTTTATTCCAGTGCATAGTCACTTGAGTAAACCACTCGCCGTAGCGTGTATTGCCATGGGTTTTTAAGTGAAGCTTCACCGCTGACGTCATCAGTAACATCGCCATCGACCTACAAATCCTCTCTTCCTTCCTTCATCCACTTCTTTCGCAGCTTCCATCTTCATCTCCTTTTATTTTCCCTCCTCTTCCTCTCCTTTTTTCTATCTCCCTTTTCCTCCTCGATTTACGGTCCCTCCCAACATTTAACGTCCTTCCTTTTCTACCTCCTTCACTTTTCCTACATCGTAAGTTTCTTTTTTTTTCCTCTTCGTCTCGTTTTCTTCAGCTTCTCGCGCCTTCACTTGCATCATAATCTCCTCTTTTCTCGTCTTCCTCTTTCCTCTTCTCAAATTCCCGCATATTTTGTCCCGTCTCTCCTTCTTCGTCTTTCCTTCGTCGTCACCATCATTCTCATCGTCATCCTCACATCACCATTAACATCATCATCATCAGCAGCAGAATTTTTGTTTACTTCCTCCTGTCTTTCCTTCCCCTTATTTTTCTTTCTAAAATCAAACTCCTAACCGTCTTCCTCCCTTTCTTATCTCTTCATTATTCCAGTTGTTGATTATAATGCGTCTTGTTTCGGCTTTTTTTTTCTTGCCCGCGAGGAGGCTGGGTTGAATATACATATTATGGTCTACACCATGTACTCGCGGGTTAGTTGTTTTGCGTTTCGTTCCATCGCGTCTCTATCAGGCTTATAAATCTAGAAAGTAGCATTTCGTTTCGTTTTGCTTCTTTAAGTTTCCTATCTTCAAATTTTTAGTCAAAACAGATTGAACAGATAGTACCTGTCACATTAGTCAATTAATGCTGATTTTGCTGGTCAGATCAAGTCGAACATACATCTACACCAGTCCTATCCGTTTACATTGCTATGCAGCAAAACATTACACACGAAAAATAAAATTAATTTGTTGCTGATTGATCCTCTAATTACAGATAATGCTTGCAATGACAGTAATATCGATATTTTTCTCATGGCTGTTTTTGGAAATAAAGAACATCAAGATCAAATTCTTCAAAACGTATGTAGCTATAATTTTTTTTATGCATAGCCTTTCCCAAGCTTAAGATACTTTTAATGTAAGTTCAAGTTATGTTTGCAAATTGGAAAAAAATCGGGGGAAAAGGGTACTCCACGTGTTCCTGGAGATCGAGTTATACAAAAGACCCAGGTATTATCTCAACAGGGGAAACGGTTTTATGGTATGGAAAATTCATTCTGGATAGAAATTCAACATTTGGATGAGTCTGAAATCATTCCTAGGCTTTTTATGTCAAGTCTACGATTGCCGTCATAAAAATTCTCAGAAAAAAAGTTGGTACTTGGCAGGTACGGTAAAGAGTTGAACGAGGGCGTTCTCTGAAATCAGGCGTTTGCTCCAATATTTACACAACCATTTCACCCATTCGCTCCCAAGATCTCAACAGTGTTTCTCCTTACTGTCTGCCATACGGCTCTTCTGATATTAGTTTGGAGAACTTTGTATTGGATCACCTAAAATCCCCTAATTGATATTTCTTTCCATTATTCAACAGTGCTTCTTACAGTACAAATAGCGCGCGAGACGAGAACAAATATCACGCTATATTTGTACTCCAAAAATATCCGCGAAATTCATCCGTGCTGAAATAACAATTTGGCGTGTTGAATAATAAATCTCTTATTAGACGTTTTGTTGTGTAGTATCGCTGAGTAGTTTTACTCGTTGTTTGTATTTTGACTCGCCCTATGGGCTCGTCAAATTACGGCACAACTCGTAAAAATACTCAGCGATACTACACAACAAAATGTCCAATAAGACACATATTCTCATCATGTGTCTACTTGTTAATGTGTTAATATGGTAAGGAGACAGTTGCCTGGTCACTCATGCGAGTTAAAGGATTAAACGAATCTCATTTTGATTTTGATTCAGGTCATCAAAAATATCCAGGTCACAAGTGGATAGGATATTACACGAGTCAATAGAGCTTCTAAATGGGGCAGACCATGCAGTTAATCCCACGCGCCGGAAGTCCACGTTAGGCATTGTCACACATGACGATGGACTACACACCGTGAAGCTTCCAAACAGTCCCACCATTCCTAGCGAGAGTAGGCCAGAATCAGATGCTGTTTCTTTGCCGTCAAAAACAAGTTCTGTCAGTTCTCGAGAAAATCGGTGGTCGAGTGTTCGTAAGCGTACGGCCGAGAGAAAGCGAAGCAGCCATCTTGAGATGAAGCACGTTCAAAGGATAGCCAAGCAGTCCGCATTAGTACAATCTAACCAAGTTCAGTCTCAAAAGGTAAGGACGCGGAAGCAAGCTGTACCGTTGCCACGGAAAACTAGATACAGCAGTGTTCCTGAAGACAGTGAAAAAAAAGCACCAATGAAACGTACCTACTCATATCATGAAACCGCTGACCACAACCTTGCAGATTCTGCACTGAAAATGACAACTTTGCAATCTGCTACTATCGGTGTTGACGACCATCGAGAAGCATCACCTTCGCAACTATTAAGGAGTGTCACTTTTCCCGCTGTTGAAGAGGGAGATCAAGAAATGATCAGTGGTCCCTTTTATTTGGAAAGTATCTGTGAACATGATGATACATTGGGGTCTGAAGAAGAAGAAGATACCGCGAATGTCTTTGTTGACAACCAGCTTTAAATATACGAAAATCCCCCGAAAAAACAGTAGACATAAGTTTCAAATTTTATCAAAGTAGGGAAGTCGTATTCAAAGACAAGTTTTAAGTAGGAAGGCTTTAATTTCAGTTACCTTATTTGAAATCACAACTTATGAGTAAATATTGATTTATTTATCATTCACGATCTTAGCAGTTATCAGCACATTTCAGAATACAAAATGCAATCCTTCTAAAATTATAGTCTGGTTCTCCTACTTTTTATCTGCATGTGTCGTCCTTGATATCAAGCAATTGCAAAATTCAGGAAACTCCGCCATATCAGACATCGAGACTTTCAGTTAATTCTATGATGGAGACTTTCTTCGGAGATTTTTGTTTGTCCTTCTGAACTTCACAACCAGACGCTTGTTGCTGATCTCCTATTTCAGCGCCTTCCTCGTCTCCTCTGGTAAATTTTATGATGGAGACTTTCTTCGGAGATCTTTGTTTGTCCTTCTGAACTTCACAACCAGACGCTTGTTGCGGATCTCCTATTCCAGCGCCTTCCTCATCTCCTCTGGATCGTCCTTGTTCTTGGATTTCAATTCCTGTAGCTTCATGGTCGAAAGATTTTTCCACAGTGTGTAACTGCAAGACATCTTCTGCACTGGATCCAGTAGCACTTCTTACTTCGCTTTGCCTCTTTCTAGCTTCAGCCTCCTGCTTAAGAACGTCTCGCACTTCATCCTTGTATTCCTCACCGCTTCCTCCGTCCACCGATTCTTCAATCACCTTCTGAAACAGCTCTCCCCTATCTTGGAAGCGACCATTTCTTTTAGTAATAAACTCCTGCCTGTTAGCTTCATTTGAAGCCGAGGCAGCCATGGTACTTCTTCGAGCAAAAACCGCCTTCTCCTTCGCTTTCCTTCGTACGGATTGCGAGTGTTTTATCGTGTAACGCCGTGCAATTTGCTCAACTTGTGATAAACGCTTGTCAAAGTCAATCTTCCTCTCCTCAACACGTTGTTTGGTGGATCTCCAAAGTTCTTTCCCTGAGACGCTCACCAATCGCCTGCGGCGTACAACGTAGTTAAGATTCTCGCCATCAATTGTTTGTTGGGTGTTAAGGACGCTGTCCGCGTCACGTGACTGACGTCTGTGCAAGGGAAGCTTGACAGAATGGAAACCTTGGTTGCCACTGATTAGTCCAAGCCTGGATTTTGCGGATCTCCGGTTGCGGCTAAATGGTTTTATGGGCATCTCCAGTTCTATTTCATCCTTGTCCTCGCCGACTGGGGTTTCATCAATTGGTGTCATCGGCTCAACCGTAACCTCCAACTTCTCCTCTTCATGCTCGGTTAGAAAGACTGGGGGACTGGGAAATAATAATAATAATACTTTTGATACTTAATATTCGAAGTCTAGTTCAAAGCAACTTTGGTGGTAAAATGCTCTTCCGTCAGAATTAAAAACTCGAATCCGACAAAAATTTTATTTACATCCGATCAGAGCTCGGCTGAAGTAACCTCAAAACCTATGAAACTGCTTGGCTTCAAAAGAATTTTAAAACACTCTGAGCGGTGTAGTAAAAACTTAGAGGCCTGGCCAAAAATACAGACACAGTTTGCAGCTCGGTAAAAGTTGTCAGCATCGGATATAAGATCTAAATCAGAAAAAAATCCTGCAAGACTTACGTTTTAGTTGGGGAGGGGGAGGGGATGGTGAAGTTTTTCGCTTCTAAAAACAACCAAGAGAGAAGCAAAGATAGTAATGTCATCCCCAACATGATCTGAAAAAAGAATCAATTATATTTTAAATGAAATAAAAACGTCTTTCATGCGAAAAAAGAAAGCTCTAAAAAACTGTAGGAATGAAGTATGGTTTGTCTTACAATGTAGTTACTTTCGATACGGATCCTCTCACTTCGACTCAACATTGAACGTGAGTGAACAATCAGAAAAACGTTAATACATTGCTTCTATTGTATGAAACACGAGGAGTAACCACAATTTTCTTCACGACAAAAAAAAATGTAGTTTTACGACAGTAGGATTAAGGGAAAATTTCTTGAATGAAGGAAATACGTAAAACGATCGGTTTTCAACAGCCGGAAAAAAGAGCCGTTGGTAATTCGAAGAAAAAAAAGTCAAGCTGAAAGGCAAAACCTGGGGATAGAGAAAGTAAGCATGTAGTCGAGATTGATTTAAGTCTTGCAACTGATTTATTAAAAAGGTGGCATGAGGTCAATTGCATGACACAGAAAATCAAAACTAAAGTAACTCCAGCTTTAAATTCAACACTCACTGAAGTTGAAATTTCTCTTATGAATACCTAGGAATGAAAACTCATCAAAGTTTTGACATGCTTTTCCTTGTCGAGTTTCCCAAGAGTGCGCAATAAAACAATAAACAACAACAGCAAAATTTCTCTGTAATAAGAACTCAAAATCATTTGCGCATCAACCGATCCCCAAGTCACCAAAAATAACTCACCAGTAAGTGTTCGTAGACATTGACAGTGTCAAACCCAAACCTGGCCAGCACAGCATTACCATCCGTGCTAATACAGTTTAGGGCAGACTCGTATTCACATTTCAGTCGAACATTTAACAGCAGCACTTTAGTCATTGCTGAGTAGCCATAGAATTGGGGATTGATGTAAAATAAGAGGTTGTATCTGAAATATAACCAGGAATACTGAGATTTAAAACAAGTTTCAAACGCGTCAAAAACTGCTTACATATTGTGACGATCGTCCTTATTTCGTCCAGAGAAAGCTGGGTAGCCTCTGAAAAAAGAGGTATGCGGGTTACAGAGTTCCACATACCTTTGCACCAACGGGAGAACTGAGTTACTCCTCCATTTGATTTTCAAGTTTATCCATTATAAACCTTCGCTCTTTATCCAAACTTTTGTTGTTTTAAAGTACTTTTCAAGTTTCACGTTTGTTAGGTCTTCCAAAACAATTACTTACAATAAACACCGCCTGCAAAAAGCGAGCTTATCAAGGCGGGCGATGTTAAGGACAAACAAACACGAATTACTAATTGAAGGCGTTAAAAAAAAGTCGATTTTTTTCCTCACAATCAAGCAATAATATTAGGATTTTTCGTGACAAAGATGCAAAAGGTACACCTTAAATAACAGGAACTTGCAACACTCACCCAACTGGCATCTGGGGTCTGGGTACTAAAAAACCACCCGCAAAACCTCCGATGGCGGACACCATCGGACAAATGCGATGAGCGATTCCCGGATGTGCACAAATCACCATCATGTAGACTGCAATCCACGTTTGGTTTAAAACCAATGAGATAATTGTTACCAACAAGAACTTCCACAAATCATACGACGTCATAACCTAAAAAGAGAACAAAACAATGTTGTAACCTTGCTAACAAATTGTTCATTTTGTAAATTTTCAAAAACTGGACTTTATTTTCATGTTTTCATCAAGAGTTTTCGTATTACTTCTGCTACACCATGCTTTATGGGACATCCTCTCTGCTAAACAGATACAAAACTAAAAGGCGGTAAGTTTCTTGAAAAACTGTGATGCTGCGTTGGTGGCGGAGTGTAAAAAGGTATTTTGGGTTTTTATCAACTGAGTTGATAATGTAAACTGGCCACCGTAAAGAGTTTCAAAGCTGACGTTTCGAGCGTTAGCCCTTCGTCATAGCTAATTTTAGAACTAAAACCAATCGAAAGCTGTTAGAGGAAATAATTCAGAAAAGTAACATAGGCGTACGTGCGTGCGCAAGTGCATGTGGACGTGCGCACGTGGATGCATACATGCGTGCGTGCGTCTGTTCAAGAAGAGATCACAGATGACGTCAAAATGTGGTAAGAACCAAAAAATGGCACACACAGCTGGAATCTATTTGTTGTTTATGATAAAAAACCAAATTGTTTTTAATGGTGAAGTTATCTACGTCTATCTTCCGATAGATAATAAGTAAGAACTAATCAAAATGCGTACATAATTCAACTTATCATACACATTATTTTAACAGAACGCACCATCAAGTAAGACATGGTGGAGCATATAATCACCGGTAAGGCACATAAAGCTGTTGTCCGCACAAACGTTTGTACAACGTTCTCGTAAGATCTGCCGTAGCCGTCTTGACGTTCAAGGCGAAAAATCTAAAAAAAAAAAAACAACGGTACAAAATAGTTCTACATGCATTACACTTTTTATTAAAAGCTCTCTTACTTAATGGCATCACAGTTTTTTCTACTCTTGATATCAACCATTTTTTTTAATACTAAAATTAATTTAGCTGTCCATTTTTTATCGTTGCTAGTGCTAAAGCTGGTGTTATTTTCTCTTTTCTTCGAGTTGTATTTTCTTCTTTCTGCTTTGATTGTTGTTCGTGTAGTTTACGCAATTGTTGTTGCGGATGACTCAGTAGGATTAATTAAGGAATGGATTGCGCGCAGCGTGTAACAATCGAGTTATGGACATAAGCAGGAGGTTGTTAAGCCCGAAAGAAGCCTAAGAGTCGCTCGAGGCGATAGCCGAGTTTGACTCTAACTTTCTTGTGTGTTTGGAAAACCTCTCGCGTGCATCCATAACTCAAAGGGTGCATATTGACTTTTTTTTTTTTTATACCACTGAGACTTTCAAACGTCTTTCGTTTCGTGTAGAAAAAAAAGAGCAAAACAAACTGATGTCAGCATGCAAGTCATGGGCAAATGGATCGAGTGTATTAGCCAATCAGAGCGCGCACTTTTGTAAATCTTTGTTTTGACGTTTGCTGTTTCTTCAATCGCCTGTGAAAACAGTCTCGCCCTAGGATATGGTTTGCGCGATCACAGGGAGACCGGCAACATGAATGTGAAAAGCGTAATTTCGCAAGATAATTCAACAAGATGTGATAGACAATTTACAGTTCATCGTTTATCGAGTGCATAACAACTTAAGGCATTTACATCCAATGCTTTATTAAGGTGAGCCATGAGAACGGAGCTAAGAAACAAAGGACTTGCACAGCAGTACACACAATAGGCTGACATCAGCAGAATTCCATCTCTCTCCTCTGCTTGCCAGTACACAGTTCCTTAAATAAAGAGGTACAATAAAACCAAAACAATTCAGGAATAGAAGATATGAGAAACATTTTTTAGGAGTGTAGGACAAAGATAAAATCTCAGTTCCCTACAGGAGTTCAAACCAGACACTTTTTCGACAATCTATCCGTTTGAGCTGTTCAAGCAAAAACAGTTGCACTGGATTACACGTTAGTTATAGCGTGACGGACGCGTAACCTCATCCGCTTAATCTAAATTGCAGACAGATGACGTCTAGCATTATCTACACACCTACAATGATCCCAAATGTGAAAAATATTAATGGAAAGTACAAGATCTGTCCCAGAGTCTGCTTCACAGAAGTTCTGCTCTCTAACACAAAGATTCTGTTAAATGATCCGGCTCCATCGACACTAAAAATAACAAGAAACCAGGTGAGGTTAAAAAATTAAACTCTTTTTCCAGACGAAGTTTATAAATGAAAGCGGAATAGTCTTAGTACAATGCCATCTTCATGTTAATCGTGGCTAAGGTGTGTTTGTCCATCGTAGTTACGATAATAAACGAACGTTAAGCCCCTTAACTCGCCGAAGTGATTAACATGTAACCTTCCCCCTATAATATCTATACATATTCCAGCAAAAAGATAATAAGAATACTCAAAATTATCAGATAGATGTTGTTATCTTGACCTCGTGCTGCATTCTCGTAAACTAATTTACGAGGAAATATTTAGCAGCTAAATTGGAGAATTGACGATCTGATCTTGGGAGTTAGAAAGGTTAATCGTTTGCCTCAAAAAATAAAGTCACTATAACTTGTAGAGTAAAGTCATCAATAAATGATGGCGACCCTCTGATTGCTACACCGCTGATTGTCGTAAAGCTTCATAGTAACTCTTAATCGTGAGACAAAAAATTAAACAAATATTCATCATTATACGTACAGCATTTTCATTCTTTCCATGGTAACTGTTTTGCTGGCCTTTTCCTGTGATGTCTTTATGGCTTCTTGGACTGCTAGTGGCTCACCGCTTCTTTGGTAGTAATCTAAAATGGCACGACGAGCTACACCGCAGTTCAGTAAATCCATGATAGTATCTACAAAGAAAATCAGAAGAAACACTGCAGCGTTTCTAGCATTAATTCTGAAACATCAAAGTACGTTCAGAAGCTCAAGCATCTTCAAGTAGGTGTCTAGAACCGAAAGGGATTGTACTGGCTTTGGCTTGCGTCACTAGGTGATTGCTCGAGAAATCTCGCCCTACTCTCTCAACCAATCCGATGAAAAAGTTAAATCACGCGTTTTCGCGCGCTTTGGGCAAGTCACATGTATTAACGTTGAGTGCATATTGGTCTCTTGTGATACTTTCCCTGTTCTGATCAGTTGGCTGTTGATTTTTGCTTTACGAAACTCCATCGAAATGCTCTTTAATTACGAGCTGACTGAGTACCATGCAACGTCATTTGCAGATGAGAAAATTTACTTCCATGAAAAAATTATCCATTTTCTTAAAATAAGCGTTTCCATTACAGTGTACTGGGTGACTCGCAATAACAAGAAAGACGTTTTCACCTGCGGGATTTTTGGCGTCAATTCTCGGTGCTTCTTCACTCAGCTGGTACTCTGTAGAGGTTGCAGTGTAGGCTTTGATGAAAAGTTCTGGTGCCATAGAGGGTTCCCCATAGTACGCCACCTGGAAGAAACATTTCAACAAACAAACAGACAAATGAAACAGCGTTAGATCGTGCATATCGTGCATGTACGTGCATAGTTACATTCGCTTGCGTACACACACGCACACGTGTGTGCATGCGTGCGTAGGTGCATGCGCACGCACGTACGCATGCACGCAAGTGATTATAACTATGCACGCACATGCGCAAGAACGTCAAAACGATCTAACGAACGGAAAAACGATCGCGTATGAGTCGACTAACCGAACAAGCAACGACCACTTATCGACCAACTAACTTACCTCACCATCGCACAGAAAAAGAATCTTGTGAAAAAGATGGAAGATTTCCAGCCTGGGCTGATGTATGGTGAGAATAACAAGTCTGCCTGACTCAGCAACAAGATTGAGATGATTCAACAGCTCCAGGGAAGATGACGCGTCCAAACCTGGTTTCAGTACAAGATACGAATTAAACATGATATTAATTCAAGGATGGGTTCACACTTGGCGGCAAATCACGACAACGCGTTGCAGCCACAAATCGCAAAAACAATTAATTTCGTTTCACCGAAACAAATTATACATTTAAAACAGTTTAATTTTTCGCGTATGATCGCGGACAGAAAATGAGTCGTAGCAACTTGGCTCTCAAGGAATACAAAAGGAACCGGAGGTGATAAATAGGGGCGTAATACGTAAGACTGTCAGGTCTCTCAAGGCAATGATGCTGTCAAGGTCTGAAAATGGAGGGAGGGGAGGAGAGACTCAGAGGTTGGGGGGGTGGGGGAGGCACTAAGAAATGATACCTTGGGCGTGTAAGTCCTGTAAGGGAGGACATCATCTAAGAAATAGGAGTACGCGTGCGCTTCCCCCCCCCCCTCCCACGCTTCTCTAGTTCGCTGTCGTCCAGCTAGTAGCACTGGCTTGTCACAGAGAACGAACACCTGTTTCATGACTGTGAGGTCACGTTTTAGTAGTGACAATATAAACTTCACCCACCTGAGGTTGGTTCGTCAAGAAAAAGTACTGAGGGCATGTTAATCAACTGGAGAGCTACACAGAGGCGACGCTTCTGCAGCAAAGAGAAATTTGGAGAGAGATTTTGGAGTACTTAAGGTTAGTAGCAACAAAACCGAAGTAGCCATGTCCTACAGTGATGAAGTGAGGGATTTGTTCTTAGAGGTGATCACGTCGATGTTGACCAATTAGTAAATCCCATCGTTTGACTGTGTTCAATAGGCGTAAAAACAGCGTTTGATATGAGACTTACTTGCCCTCCGCTCAATCCCAGTCCCGTTGATCCTCCAACAACCGTGTTGGCCAATTGTGTCAGTCCAGTCTGGTACAGAGAGAGAAAGAGCGAGTTTAAACCTACTTCGCTAAACACAACAGGTACTTGCCAAAATCGATTAGTCGCCCAAAAGCCCCAGTTATTTATCTCCTATCTTTCCTCTGGGTGTGCAGAGAGGAGTGTCCACTAAGGCTCCTCCTGAAAGATCGCCTCTAAACTCCAGCCCAGGTTTGGTCCAAGCTTGCACCTAATGAGGGTCCCTTTTTAATAGCCATTCGGTGGCCCCAGCTATGTAAGCTCCTGAATCTTCCTCTTGTATCCAGACTCAAGACAAATAAAAAATTTCCTTCAAAGTTAACCAAAATTATTTATCAAAAGTGGACAACCTACCTCGGCAATAATTTGTTCAACGCGTTCGTATTTCTTAGCAGCACTCGTTTCTTTTGGCAATCGCATGTGAGCAGCGAAGAAGAGATTCTGCCGGACGGTGAGCTCCTCATAGTAAGGTACAGCGAGCTGTAACACATAACCAATCTTACGAGCATACCAGTCCTGTACTTGACCCAGTCCCACTCCGTTGATATATACCTGCCCCTACAGGACATGTAAGATGAAAGAGATAAAGTGGTAAGGGATAAATAGAGTTTGTTTTCACCACATATTTCATTATACAGTTTTCAAAGGTGAAAAAAGGGTTTGAAAATCTCGTCGAAGGAAAGGAAACAGAAAAAGTGGAATAAAAATCTGAACACCAAAGTATGCAATAAAACTCTTCAAAAACCGAAAAATAAGCTGGTCAAATTTTTCCTAAAATCGTTGGATGCCATCTCTGCATCAGGGCTTGTGATAATAAAATATTAGAGTAGCAACCACGTTGGGTTCACAATTAAATAACCGGTAAAAATGAAGCACAACGCGTTCAATTACGAATTTTGTCATGCAGAATCTTGTATACAAGACAACACTATTAGTGACATGTACTAAGACAACTGTGCCTCATTCACAAAGCTTCGATTTCCGATGTGTCTTTCTCGGAAATGTTCGCTTCTCCACCATTGTTGCGGATGGGTCTAAAAAATCCTATAACGCAATCACATGTATCAAAGGTCTAAGGTCATAAGTCAAACTTAACTTCTTTGTTCCTAAGGAAGTAGCGAGAAAAAAAAACTCACACACACCTCAAAATGTCCATTGCGTCGCCTTCCTGTCAGCAAGTCTAATAGCGTTGTCTTTCCGCACCCAGATGGTCCCATGATCGCCACCAGCTCTCCGGTATTGAAATATGCCGACACACCTTTGAGAATTTGCTTCCTTGACGAGCTACCGTCAGCCAAGTCCAAGGGGATTTGTCGCATGTCACTGTTCCTACCTTGTAACAGTGCCATTTCACTTCCGGTATGGGACCCCAAAGTAGAATGACCATCCAAGTTGCTCAACGAGGACTCAGCTTGGAATTCTTGGGATGTTTCTGTCGATTCCGTTTCAAAATTCGTCGAACCATTCGTAAACTTGGGGGGAACAGAGTTAAAATCGCCGTCTACCTCGTGGCATTCACTTTCTTCATAATCTTGGCCATCGCTGCCGGAGTCTTCTTCCAAGATTGAGCCTCGAAGTGTAAGCGATGTTCTACTGCTCCGATCTGTTCTGATCACACTACTGTTCTCTTCGGAACTGGGTTCTAGCAAAGAAAAAACTATTAACTCAAACATACTACTTTTAACAAACAAGGATTCACACCCGTTCCAAAAGAAGCACACAGCAATGCCCAAATGGGCACACACTCTGTCTTAAAATCTTCTCAACAATGTTGGGGTTTATTTTTGTGGTAACAAGAAAACCTTGGGACGGCTGGAATTATTTCTGACGATGAGTGCAAAATTACCGCGAGCTGGACCCCATTGTTCAAAGGAGAGATAACGCTCACCGACGGGTAAATCGCTATCCATCGATCAAGTGTTAACAAAACGTATTGTGTAATTCACTGAAAAGAGATTAATACAACGGAGGGCGTTATGCACCCTTCCAACGATAAATAAATAAATAAATGACAATTTATATAGCGCCCTATCCAAAAGTTCTTAGACGCTTCACAATCAAGGTAAAAAGTAAAATAATAATCAAACGTAATCATTCATTAAAATAACGCTTTAAAAGATAAGTTTTAATATTACGCTTAAAAGTGTTAAGATCTATACTACATTTTATGGTTTCAGGAATGTCATTCCACAGCTTAGGTGCAGAGACAGAAAAGGCGCGATCGCCATAAGATTTCAACTTGGAGCGAGGAATCACTAACAAGTTCTTACTCGATGATCGCAAAGACCTAGTAGGCTTATAAGTTTCTAACAAGTCACTGATATAACTAGGGCATAAATTATTTAAAGCTTTAAAAGTAAAAAATAAGATTTTAAAAATAATCCTCTGCTCCACGGGGAGCCAGTGCAGTTCCCTCAGTAAAGGAGTAACGTGATCATGCTTGCGACCACATAAGATCAGCCGTGCCGCACAATTCTGGGCTAATTGCAATCGGAAGGGCTAACACTCGAAACGTCAGCTTTTGTAATCGTTACGGTGGCCAATTTACCACTTCAATTTTGTTGATATATCCAAATTATCACCGTTAAGTTTGAGTTTGTTCAATGACAACCACGTTCCAATATTTTGTAGGCAGGTTTCGATTCTCGTAGTAGTAACTGATGAAACCGAGTCAAGCGAAAAATCAACTTGACAGTCATCCGCCTAAAAATGGAAGTTCATATCATGTCTTCTTATAATGTCGCCGAGAGGAGAGGTATACAGTAAATACAAAATCGGACCTAGAACAGATACCTGGGGAACTCCAAACACCAGATCAGAGTGAGAGGAATTTGATCCGTTTATGCTAACAAATTGACTGCGGTCGGTGAGATAAGACTTAAACCAAGAAAGAACCTTGCCTTTGATACCAAACCGAGTATTAAGTCTGTGAAGTAAAATACCATGATCGACCGTTTCAAATGCCGCAGATAGATCGAGCAGTAATAAAACAATAGTACTACTACGATCCACAGTACGTAAGATGTCGTCATGAACTCTCAGAAGGGCAGTCTCAGTGCTATGCAATTTCTTTTAAGCAGACTGTAATTTCTCATCCAGGTTGTTGTCATCAATATACCGCACAAGTTGTACTGCAACCGATTTTTCGATCAATTTAGAGACGAACGAAAGGTTAGAAACAGGACGAAAATTCTTAAAAATCTTCAGTATCTAAATTAGTCCTCTTTAACAATGGAATAATCAAGGCAGTTTTGAGTGAGTTTGGTATAAGAGCCTCGTCTAAGGAACGATTTACAATATCAGTTATCACTGGCAGCAACATTGGTAAACTTTTAGTTAGCAGCAGAATTAGACACAAATTGCGGAGAGCAATGATCTCATTGCGGGGGCAAAAATCACTGCGGGGGTCTCACTGCGGGGGCAAAAATCCCTGCGGGGGTCTCATTGCGGGGGCAAAAATCCCTGTGGGGGTCTCGCTGCGGGGGCAAAAATCGCGCGAGAAACGCGAGAGGCGGCTTCAAACCGCTTTCCTCTTTCTCTTCGTGCGTACTTCAACATCTACAAGGACAGAGAGGTGGTTGAAGGTCTACATCGAGACAAATAGGAAAGTGTAATCCTTCTAACTATTTCAAAGAAACTATCAAAAATTTTCTCTTACAAATATCAGAATTTTCGGCACTTTTAATTAAGTATTCCTTGGCGAAGGAAAGTGACAAGTTCCGAATACCATCTTCTTTAATGCCACTATGCTTGGTACGTGCGTCCAATACAGTGCTATTCATATGTTGGATATCAAACATTGCGATTGGGCATTGAGATCCTAGTGTCTACAATGATGTACAATTTTGCTATTCTTACCATTATCAGCTTTCTTTTTCTTTTCCTTGACATCCACTTCGTACGTTAAGGACAAGCAAGCTATACTAACAGTTTCGTCCGCCTTGCAGAGTGGAAGCTACAACGCAAGTCCCATACCATGAATGTCTTTTAGTGAACTCTTTCTATCAAGCCCCCTTCACTAATAAGATCCCTCTCTATGAGGACTTTCTAACTTGTCTTGTAAGCATGTTTCCATTAAGCCCCCTTCTCTATATTAAGTCCCTCTTTCTAATGTTCCCCAGCTTGGACTAGAGTGTTATGTTTCTAAAATGGATTATTCAAAAAGGGTGAGGGCCAAAGTACTGCATACAGAGGATAGGATAGTCAAAATTCAACCTCTTTACTGGTAAAACTCTCTTACCTCCTTTCTTGCCTGAGAAGTTTCACTATCGTTGAGATATTTTTTCTGCCTTTTCATCAAATAACAATAATAAAACATGAAACTTGCTTTCAGTCCAGAACAGAGCACAGTGATAATCAAGGAGAAAGTGACGATGACTGCTTTGACAACACCCCTCCAGACTTCACCTGCATCCACAAAAATCAGCTTATCTGGGCAGGTTGGATTGCAGTGTGCACCAATGCAACTGTCAATCACCTTGAAGGTGGTATTACTGGATTTTACCCAAGTAGATAAGAAATCTTGAATGCTGAGGCTCAAAGTCCCATTTGGAATTTTTGTCGTTGACCAAGTTCCACTTTTAATTCTATGACTATGAGGGCAAAAGAAAAACTGTTATGTCATCATGGACACACAGGCTAAAAAAAATGAACTGTTATATTGACAATATCCCATAAAAAAGGATCTCGTACATGTAAATTAGGCAAAGTTTAAGATATAATTTGGATATATCAACAAAGTTGAAATGGTAAATTAGCCACCGTAATGATTACAAAAGCTGACGTTTCGAGCGTTAGCCCTTCGTTGGAGCGAAAGTTTAAGATAAATTCTCAGTGCCCCACGGAAGTTATCCTTATCTGCTGTTGCACCAGCCCCACTGCCCCACCCATGGGGACATTTTGCCAACCCTAAATCCGGGTATATATTTCTACTGTTGGCCAGAAAGATTTTGCCAACAAGAACCAAATATTTTCAGAGGAGGGCATGTACCAAACATGAACAGACTTGTCAATGTTGTTAGTTAGATGGCGGGGTTTAAGTCAAAAAATCCTCTAGGGAGATATATATCTTATTAACCAAGCGCGATGGCCGTACTGGGAAAATATCGGCCCGAGGTCTTGACAATACGGATCGAGCGCGGCGAGGTCCGTACAAAAAAGACCGAGGGCCGATATTCTTCCAGTACGGTCCCAAGCAAGCTTGGTTAATAAGAGATTTATTATACGACTGAAGTTCAAAGGGACACAAGAGCAGTATCATTCGGGACCATTCGGGACAATGCCCGGTCCAATACTTAGAGAATATTGGACTGGCAATAGAGCATTTTGATTGGTTGATTTTAGTTATTGGCCCTCTGACTGCCCGAGTCGTGTAATAAATAGGGATATTTCCCTCCGAACAACACATTGGGCTTCTAGTATGAGAGTGATCTTCGCAGTATTGTACACTACTTAAGCAGTAATAAAAATAAGGCCTTAAGAAAAATTCAGGCCTGTACGGGATTCGAACCCATGACCTCTGTGATACCGGTGGAGAGGTCATGAGATCCCTGTTTTGTTTTCCTTTGATTATTCCTTTTCAATCGATTTGTTTTCATACCACTGTCTGTACCGGAAGGAACTACATTCAGGTATTTTTGCAATGATAATCCGAAGAGTATGATAGGTCACCTGATAAGGGCAAGGAACAGACATATTCACTTTATTTTGGTTTGGAGTATCCCCAAACTTGTCTCAAGCACGAAAATTAATTTGAATCCATTTTCTTACCTGAATTTTCCATTGTTTCGGGTAACTTCTACCAAAGGATTTAACACACTGTCTTTGTCCCAGAGACTTGACGTACTCAAATATGTGTGTTGAAAACAGGCCGGGACAAAAAAACTAGCGTGACGCCGTTGGGGAATTTCAAGTGATTCATTCATGGCCCCACCATACATACTAACTGCTGATAAAAAGTCGGCTACATTACTTTCGGCCGTCTTTCCCTGGCTTTCAAGCCTTTTAAGCACGTCTGCAAACATATAAATGTCGTACAAACTAAAGATAAACGCCATTTGCAACGCAGATGAAATGTGGTGCGCAAGGAGACATGATGCGGATAGACAACACGCGTAACCATATCGCATATCTGCACATGCATCCAACGAAATCTTCGCTAATGCGCCAAATTCAGAGTTCACTCTTGATTTAAAGCCATCTTGGAAATTTACAAACCACGCTGAGTCTATTATGAAGAGAAATCTAGGCTTTGATGTCAAGTTTTTAGTGTAGTCCGTTGTAAGCCAATTTGCGTGATTTAAAACTCCTATACCTCCAGCACTACTTCCCGAAACCACGATATATTCTGCTAGGGAAATGTTGTATTTCGTGCGTAATTCTTCGAAAACTGAGCGAAAAATTGTATGACCTCTAAAACTGAAGTTATCTACGGAAGGGTTATTCACAAAATTAAAGGATCCGTTCCGGTGCGCTGATTTTTTGCCAAGCCACAGGTCACTGCTACAGTAAGGGACGAGCACATGATTATAATTGTAGAAAGTCGGATTATCGCCTTCCGAAGATGACAGAATATCTCTTCCAGTGACTTTATCCGGAAGATGCCTCGAGGACATCAACACAGTCGAATTCTTGTTCAAATATCGCTTGTTGCAGTCCGCCTTCGATGAACAAAGTCCCCCGCTCTCGAAGTAAATAATCCAGTTAACAGTAGGTAGTTGTCCGATGTAGAACACCGCAGGTGAATCGTCATTGCAAATTGCAACTGAAGCGTTTATAATTACCTTTTGCAATTGACCCAGTGACTTGACTGTCTGTACAACTTGAAGGATAAAGACTCCAACGAAAACGTATTTCCCTGACATTTTCGCAGAGTTCTTGCCTGGAGCGGCGAAAAATGAAACTTGTAATTACGCGCGCTACACAGGAATCTAACACGTTCAATCAGTCTTGACAGAACATCAAGGAACGTCATATTAAAAACAAACAGACTGCTGTCACGCAATGTAATAAGTACAAGTCACGCAATTTAGACTAAAGGCAAAAATGACTTTCTAGTTTTAGGATTTTTGGAAAAGCTAGAAAGACTCGTGTGGCCATTCCTCTATAAGTTAAAAATAAATAATAATCGATAAGTAAAGTATTCCTAACTAACAATCGTAAGAATGTTTTGGTTCGAGAAGAGGAGGCTGGGGAAGTTTTGTTGAACACCTCGGAATGAATTACAAACACGCTTACTTTTTTGTTAGATCCCAGTCTCTTTTTTCCTTATCTGAATAATTTAATTTTCTTTTTTCCAACAAGATAACGATATTTAGACTCTCCCTCGGCCCTCAAATCCTTTTTGAGCATACACCCTGAAAGACTGGTGTAGAGATAGTCTTTCTCGTTCCCAGTTCTCGGTCGTGTGAAGATGGCAGAAAATTGTGAAGGGAAAATTTGTAGTTGCTAGAATCACAAGCAGGTTTAAGCTATCAGAAAGCAGTGTCTGATTCAACAATGGCTGATTCAGCTTCAAAAAATTTCAGTAATCCTACTTGCTCTTCATGTGCAAAAATGAAAGAGGTTTGTCTTGCATTTTTCAAAATAACTGTTCCAGACTCAAAACGTTCAAGCTACGTCTTGTTCGGTTTACATATGCGAGGTTCTAATTTGAAGGACACCAGTTTTGTTTTGTACGATTTTCTAATTGATTCTGACAATGCTAAGGAAGGTTCATGAGTTACCAGTTAGCGTTTTTATTATTACACATTCGGTGGTTATGTTCACTTCAAAACGATCCAGAGACTGATACTATCTTTTCGCAACCTCTATTCATTTCATTTAAACGTGACAAAGACATCGGCAATTTTTTGGTCAGATGTTAAAAACGATCCAAAGACTGGTACTATCTTTTCGCAACCTCCACTCATTTCATTCAAACGCGACAAAAAACATAGGCAATTTTCAGGTCAGAAGTTCACTCCAAACTAATGACCAACCCGGCACTTTTAAATGCGCTCGCGCACGATGCAAAACTGGACCTTTCATTCACAACGCTGGGAAAATATCAGGACCCAAACGTTTCATTAAGATCGCTGATCACTTCACGTGCACCTCCGCCAAGGTCATCTGTTGCATAACTTGCACTTATTGCAAAAAGATATACATCTGCGAAACAGGAAGACGACTAGGTGACCGATTCGACTTTGCTTAGAAAGGAATGACAAGGATGTATCAAAACCAGTCGCTAGACACTTTAATCCACCTAATCATTCTTTGCAGCACATGGAAATCTGTGGTCTTTCCTTAGATTTAGGTAGCTCAGAAAGCCACAAAACTCTTGAACAAGAGTTTATCTTTCAAATTTGGCACTCCTAACCCCATAGGTATCAACAAAAGCTTTTCATGCTACTAATTTATCTGTGTTTTTCTCCTCACCATGTTCCCGCCAATAGCATAGCTCCACTGTCTGCATATAGACCCACACACAACCCACAATTCCTCTATTTGCTCTGAAGAAGGGCTAATGCTTGAAACATCAGCTTTTTAACTCTTTATGGTGGTCAGTTTATAATTTCAGCTTAGTTAACTTTCCCCCTTTGTTCAGTGGTTGTGAGTGTTCGCTTTACATGTGCTTGAAGTATCAACTCCACTGTAAGAAGATAGCAGAGTACACAAGTTTCATTCTTAAGTATTTTGCTTCTATCGAGTTAAAGTGCAATAATCTTCAATTCAGCATAATTATGCAAAAACCACAATCTCCATAAGCTATATTTATTGCAATGTATATATGAATAATTTTATCACTTGGTGGGACAACCTCTCGAGGAAAAAAGTGTATGCCTTCTGTGCTTTGCCTATGTACAGGTGACTTGAAATTCTATAGGAAAATTCATAACTTAACGAGGGAATTCCACATTAAGTTACATGCGAAAATCAATATCGCACGAATCATGAAGCGATGAGTGTGATATCGGTTTTTAATTCTATGCTGAATACCTGCCTTTGTTAACCAATTAGAATTTGAGATTATTTTTATTTAATGATGCGATTCTCAAAGGAATTAAATCGATGTCATAATCAGTAACTTTTGGTCATTGTTTTGGACAGTTAGGGTACTAATAATGGTGCTTTCTTCCAGGCACTTGAGGTCTCCAAGAAAGAACATACACTGACTCTAAGAATGATCAAGGAAAAGATTATTTCAACCGAGTAGGTTACAGTCACCTGTTTATGAAAAGATAAGGCTTTGTGTTAAAAAGATGGTGCAGTTTACCATGTAGTCAAAAATTTTTTGATCTATAGATATAGATTTCTCTTGCTGTTTTGCATTGTAAGAACTTTAGTCTAAGGGTAGTTAGCTTTATTTTTTTTTTTTTCTGTTGCTTGTGTCCATGTTTGTTTGTTTTATGTCCTTGATCCAAAAATGCAAAATATCTCTCCTTTTAATTAGCTAACTGGTAATTTTAACCCTTGTATTACATGTACTGCATTTGATAGCCAGTTCTATCATCATTATTGTTTTTTCTTTCTCTCTTTTCTCTATTTTCAACTCTATTTCATGGCTTATTTGGATCTGAGATGAAGTAATTTGTTTCAGTTTTACTTTCTTAAGCTGTATACATGTGAGTCTGAACAGGTCCTCTTTAGAGGTTAGCTTCAAGGTTAGTTTTCACTTGAGACAGTGTGGTAGTTGAAGTTGTAAGAGCACTTCCAACCTAGGGTTAATCGCAAATCAAATTGTAAGGAGAGTCATAATCTCGATGAAATTGGAGTCAGAAGAACAAAAACAAATTTAATTTTCTTCTGAAACTCGCTAATTTGTTTTTATTTTTTACTTTTATAGTGAGCTTATCAAGAAGTATCAAGAAAAATGCCTTGGTATCCTTTCAAGTTTTCCCGAGAGATAAATCTTCAGTTTCCATGATCAACTTATTTTTTATAAAGATACAAAACTGATTAGTGTCCTGATCATGTCCTCTTTTTGCTGATTAATTTAAATGTGTAAATTATTGGATTGGGTATTACACAATGTTGGGTAATTGGGAGGTTTGGACCCTTCCCATCAGACAACTGAGTTGTTATACTATTTGTAAGATGCCAAAATTCTTGAAACTACAGAATAACATTTAATTTAGTCGTCAAAATTGACTTGTCTTGGAGTTCTTCCCAGCTTATTTAGGCTGTAGTTAAAAAAAAAATAAGATATGTTTTCTGTAGCATTAGTTTTAACCTCTCAACCCCCC